GGTGGCCGGATGATGGCCATGCCATTCTGTGCGTTTCCAGCGATCAGTTGGTCCACCAGCTCAATGGTGGAGCCGGTGGCCAGCAAGGAAAGCTCGAAAGTGGACTGCGGGGAAAAAGGCGGTGGAGGTGGAGGTTATCAGTGCTCTGCATAATCTAGCCAAAGCTAATAAAACGCCATGAATCTTATCTAAGACTGAACACAAATAGGTTTCTCCACGTAAGAACTTGTTTATATTTATATGAATTTACAGTGCGTTTCAGAGCATTACGATTATATGAATTTACAGTGCGTTTCAGAGCATTAGGATTGCCAAAAGATTGATTTGCCGGGGGAGATCAAATTGAAACTTTAAGGCACTAACAATGGTAAGATGGTAAAGACGAGAACCATAAATAACTTAAGCTAAAACAATTAATAATGAATGGAATTCGTTAACCAAGCCATACGAAATCATAAATATTTAAAGAAAACAGAAAAGAATAGAAAATTTAACTTAAATAAATTCGTCTATAATCAATATGGAATAAATAATAATAAATTAATATTAAACATGGGATTCTGCATAAAATATATGTTTTAAGCTTCTGCCTTACTGTATTTGTTGCCTTCTCGATTGTAATAGAATTGTGAAACGCACTGTCCCTATATAGAAATGCCTGTGCAATGGGCCGCATCTAATCTAATCTGCTTCAATTTGCATCTATCAAGTCAGTAAACTAAAAACGCCACAATCTTCGCAAGCAATCAAGCGAAAATATAATAAAATAAGCTAATTAAGTGCAAGCATTGGGTGCATTGTGTGCTTTGTTCTACGGATCCCACATTCCACATCGCACATCGTAGAGGGCACCAATTGCTCACCGGATGTATGTAAACTGAATCGTAGCGGGAGCTCAGCTCCTCCATGCGCTCATCATCGCGAATCCCGGCGGTCGACTTCAGGAGTTCGAAGTGCTCCTCCGTGTGCAGGCGTAGAATCTCCTCCTTGGTGGCCGATCTCGACGGCAGATTCATGCAGCGCTCCGTGAGATGCAGTTCACGGCAGCTGGAGAAGATTACGGAAGGAAATCTTAATACAATTGTTCAAGGATTAAATATATATATATATATATATACAATTGTTTAATCATGAAATATTATTAATATTTTTACACAATTAAATTTTGTAAAAGCTTTTTAAGTTTTTAAGCAAAAACATAATTTCTTTTCGACTTTGAACTCAATTAATATTTGAAAAAAGGATAACAATAATTATACAAATATGAAACTGCATTGCTTTTATTTATTAAAATATTATGAAAAAAGTTAAACCTTTATTACTTCAAATTGGTTTAAAATTATAAATAATTTATGTAAGCACCGAATAAATAATAAAAAACGGAGAGCTAAAATATTGTATATAATAAGTAATTGCTAAAAAAAAAACACATGTTTAAAATTGGCAATTAGGTTCAAGTGTTTTTTTTTTTAGAATTTTTTTCAGCTGTCTATATTTATTTTGCAATGTTTTTGTAGAAAAAAACCCTCGCTTAAAATTGGCAATTAGGTTCAAGTGTTTTTTTTTTTAGAAATTTGTTTAGCTGTTTATATTTATTTTGCAAATGTTTTTTTACATAATAGCTAGTAGCTAAAATAAAACATGTAAAGTTTTGTTAACTAAGTAATACCTATTTAAATATTAAATTTCAAAATAAAATAAAAACTGAACTGCCGCTTTCAAGTCAAAAATTATAAGTAAAATTGTATACATTGTGCTATAATGATGTTTTTTGCAATATCTATGATATCTCAATCTTTGAACTCACCGCTCGAGGACGCGTGTGAAACGCTCGGGACACTCGTAGTGCTCCTTGTCCCACAAGCAGCAGTGCTGGCTCATGGACTCATCGTAGATCAGGGCTGTGGGTTTTCGCACCAGATCCTTGCAATTGACAGCCTTATGAGGGGTAAATATAAACATAGTTAGTCTGGTCACTGGACAGATCCTCTATAGATACTCTACTCACATTCTGGAATATATCGGTGATGGACTCCTGCATGGCGTTGCTCTGGTTCTTGAGCATATTCCGCGCTCGACGTTTCGCCTCCAAGAGCGCTGCACTCGGTTTGTTCGCTTTTCGCGAATCGCCGGTGCCGCTGTTGATAGCGCTGCTGGCGCTGCTTTTGCTGCCGGTGCCGGTGGCGGTGCCTGTGCTGGCAGAACCGCCGATCACTCCCGCCGCCGCCGATTTATTGGCCATTGCCCGCGTCTGCATCTTCGCCTGCTGCGCGCTCCGTCGCGTGACGATGGGCGGGCTCTGTGGGAACATGGACTCGAATTTAGTTAGCAACTCGCGTGGATTAATGTGCGGCCAGTATCCAGTATCTTGGCAATTTCCAGAAATGTATATGTGCTAGGTACTACTGTAACTCAAGTGGGATAAATGCAGCGATGGATGCATGAACTTAGCTGCCCACTCAAGTGCGATAAGTGCCCAGGTGGATGGATGATGTATGTATAGTATCTTGACTAGTTTCTTGACTCTTTTCCGAACAAGTACAAAAATGATGTATGTAAAAAGGTTAACTAAAAAACGTTTCGATTCCAAGTACAATGACAAATAACCCAATAAAGTCAGGGCACTTTTCGATCGAAGATTACGACTGACACACTTTTTGAATTCTTGATTACAGCCCAAACTTCTACAACTAATCTTGGTACGGTCTATACGGACTAACATGAATTGGGTGCTCCAAACAAAATATCTATTTATTTTAACTCTTAATATACATATATTTACTTATAACAAAAAGTAAACGATATCCTTGAACTTGCATGGCTAATTTTTATAGTAATTTTTGTAAATCGTAAAGTAAATTTTTATTGAACAGAATTTTTACTCAACCAAATGACAAGTTTGAAAATCTTTTTGAATATTTTAAAAGAGGGTTGCAGTGAATTTAATTTTAAAAAAATAACTTATAATAGTATTTTAAATGATGCTCCTAAGCACCTTATTTTATAATTTTAATTTAAATAATGCCTTCAAGTTTAGTTCAACCTTGTTTTGTACCTTAACATTTTTGGAAACTAGATTTTTTTTACTTAGGTTTAAGTGGCTTTAAGTTCTTTAGTAGGTACTTAAAAAAAAGAGATTTATTTTTATTTTCGGGCAAAGAACGAGGATATGTTCATAAGTACATAAGTTTGAGCACTAATCAATATTTTAAAAAATATGTATTTTGATAATTCCGAACCCAAAAATCTTCGACAGTGAAACCTATTTTTCCGGCCTCTTAAAGATCGAATAACAGAGGTATTACTGTACTTATTCCCAAACTAGGTTTAGTCACATATTGTAAACAGAATTTGGTTTTGGGAGATTTTATGATTACACTTATTGTTGCCTCCTTAAATGCACCATTTTTTTAATTTAACTAATATTAATAATATTGTAAGCTCTAGAGGGTAAAATTCGTGTCATATCATTTATAAATGAGCTGAAATGTTCTGAATCACTTTAACTGTTGTGTGTAATTCGCAGTGATTTCACCTCAAAGTTATCCTAAGGTAGAATTTTTCGCGGATGTCTCCGTTTAGGGGTGTCTCACTGTGCTTCCAGTGGGAAGCAGCCAACTGCTGGCCACGAAGTTTGGTCGGAAACTGCCGCAACTATACACATCCATGGAGCTCACAACCTGGCCAAGAAAACCGGGTGTGTGTATGTGGGTGTTGTTGCCACTGCCGCTTTTGGCCAAAACAACTTGAAAAAGGCGGCATAATCCGCCTGTACTCACCATGTTGTGGGATAACGTGAATTTATTGATGTGGAAGTCGAGGCCAAGTCGGAGTCCGAATTGGAATCCAAAACCGAATATCCGGAGCTGGAAGTGGAAGTGGAAGGCAGAGGAGCTGGAAGCGGGGGAAACGGGACGGACTGATTCACAGCTGCGAGGGCGTTCGCTTCTTCTTGTTGTTGTCGTCTATGTATATTATGTATGTATGTAGGTTTATTCCAAAATTTCCGGCTCCGTTCCCGCTCCTTGACTCCCGTTATTTATCGATTCCGAGTAACACACTTCTTCTTTTATAATTAGCCGTTTTGTGTGTGCTATAAATTATGCCTAGTTTGTTTCTATCTCGCTTTCACAATCCCTACTTTGCGTGTTTGCGCTTCAGTTGCTCTGTTTTTGTTGTTGTTATTTTGATTCTCTTATTTTTTTTTTGTTATCGTTTTTGTTTGTTACTTGCCCATGCAAATGCGAAAACACTGAGCAACAAAATAAAGCGTTGGCTAGCGGTTTTGTTTTATTTTAAAAGAGCGTTGCAAGTTGCACTCGATTTGATTTCTTTGAGCAGACGAAGATGCAGCAACAGTAACAGATACATAGGCACGGCACAACAAATACAATCAGAACGTGAACCAGAAATCTCGCACACACACTTTCAGAGCGGTTGGTGGGGCGGAGGGCAGCAGGGGAGCACTGTGGGAGGGGGGGCGGAGAGAGCAAAAGAGAGCTGGGAATCGATGACGCGCGGGCGGAGAAATGCAATGTTTGTGTGCCGTGCCGTCTTCTTCTAGCCGCTTACAAGCGATCAGCTGTTCGTTCGATAGGCCCAACTTGTTGAATAATCGGTTGCAAACGATAAAAACAAACAACAAATGTTTGTTTTTTGGTAATAATACTTGGTTTTCTGAATGAAATCGGTCACAAATCAGCAATTTATTGATTTGAAATTCATGTTCAATGCCTTCTGCACAGAAATCGTACCAAATAGATGAACATTTGTTTTGGCAATGCAGTGCTATCATGCATAATCTGTATGGATAAAGATTTGAAAAAATGGTATTTAACATATTATTTTATAATATGACATTTTTTCTTTAGAGCTTTGGGAAACTAAAAAATCAATTAGAAAATTATGGTTTTAAAGATCTGTCTATCGATAGCTTCTGCTGTTTGGTAATCGTTCTGGTGTCATCGCTGCCCGCCAAATCGTTCGACCTATCGATTACCCTTCAAAACCGCCTTGTTAACATTTTGTATTCCGCATCCATGCTGCCGTTTGTCCAGGATAATGTGCCGGAGCTGCTGCTGCAGGGGTCGCGGGTCGCCTTCTGCGGCAATCTTCACCTGGGAGCTCCGCGAGACCGGTTCAGGTCCACCTCCACACTGCTGCTGGCGCGTAACCTCAAGTTCTACGAATTCCGGCGCAAGGATCTGCTGCATCACATCGATTTGCGAGGCACGCGACTGCAGCAGGTGGCCAGCCAACTGGAGGCCTATGCAGGACCCATGAGCGCCTTTCTGCCGACGGTGGAACCCACGGGCGGGGAGCTGGACTGCAGCAGTATCCAGGCACCGGAGGAGCTGCCCTTAAAATTGGGCAAGTTTGTGTGGCAGCAGGAGGAGATCTACCTGCTGATTCAATGCTGGAGTGTACTGCTAGTCCTGCGGCGTCCCAAAGAACACGGCAGCAACTTTGAGCTGGTGGCGCAGCACGAGGATGTGGTGGCATTCAAAATGGCCCATGGACCCATTCCCTACCAGGCCGTCGTGGAGCTGCATTTCGGCAATGGCAAGCGCCAGTGCTGCGATTTCCAGGAGCCATCCCTGCAGGAGGAAGGGCCCAGCACCTCCAAGGCTGCGGACCTGGCCTTCCACAATTTCAAGGGCCTGGAGGAGCAAGTGAAGGCGGCCCGGGCGGAGCTGGCCACGCTGCGTTTGCAAACCCAAAAGGACTTCGAGATCAGTCAGGATCTGCAGCAATTCGGTCCGCCCGGCCAGCGTTCACTGCTGCTGGAGGAGAAGCAGCCGCTCCGTCGGTTCGGCGATGTGTGGACCCGCGTCTGCGGCGATTATCTCGTCTGCGGCACCCTCCTGGTCAACTTGACCGGCAGTCACCGTCTGAGCATCGTCCAGGATGTATGCCCGCTGGTTCGACTGGAACCGCACCGCGACTACAGCCTGGAGCACCGCCTGTACGAATTGCCGCTGCAGGCGGATGGCCAGCCGCCCCTGGATTACGACCAGCTGGCGCAGTTCTGGGCCTGCCAGGACCAGCACAGCAGGCTGCTCAAATGGCGGCCGGTGGCCAAGGCGAGTCAGCTACCGCCCGAGTGCTCCGCCGTGATGGTCGTGCGACTCAATCTGGTCGATCTCCTCGAGGCGGAGCAGCTCCAACTGATGGTGCTGTACGAGATTAAGGGCTCAGCGGAGCAGGAGCCATCCCCCAGGCAGATGCACCTGGTTAGCTTCGATGTTAAGAAACTGTTGGATGAGCCAGAGTCACTGGCACCCAATTTTTCACCCGCCACGCTGCACCAGGACTTTCTGGCCGTGATAATGACGCAAACAGCACGTTGCTCCCTGAAATTGGAGTTTAACACGGCTCAGGATGGCGAGGCATTCGAGCAGCTGCTGGCCTCCAAGCTGCAGTTCGAGTTGATACAAGCCCAGGAGGCGAAATGCGATCAGGGTGTGTAGTCTTCCCCTTACAACTCCTCTTGATCCCTTTTGAGAGCTAATCTTTTACAGATTCCGATCTGCTAGAGGCATCTTGCGCTGGCGCAGCCTTTCAGTCGTCCACCGCCGAGGCCAATCCTGTCCAGCGCATCTTCTACAACCGCCAGCCGCTGTCGCAATGGTGCGGCATCTTGCTGCTCCGCGATGATCCCGGCCAGCTGTGGCATGTGTACGCCCAAACGGATGACCGACTGCGTCTGCTCCTGCATCGCCTGATGCGCGATCTCCTCCAGCTGCACTGCAATCTTACCGTGCTGGAGGTCAGCGAGTACAACCAGGCGCCCGCCGATGTGGCCCTGGAGTTGGAGGCGAGCTTGAACGAGGAGCTTGAAGCCTGGAAGGAGGTTCTCAAGCCGGCAACCAGTCACGAGCAGAGCCTGGAGCGGCTGACGCATCTCCATCAGGTGCAAATGGCCAGCGATGTGCTGGCATCTGTGATATTGAGCCCAAGTGCTACCGAATAGCACTGCATTCCTTGCTTTAGAAGTACGTTTTATGATTTGTACACAGATAACATAAACCATTTATAAGAAATGTATGCCTGTTTTTAGAATAGGTCCTTAAAGTCGGAGAATCTGAAGTAAAATAAATGAGAATTGTATAATATGTGCTCTGCGGTAGGACCGCATTTATGCATAAAATTCTATATAGCATTTACAAGAAATGTATGCCATTTTTTGAATGAATTTTAAAACAACGTTTAATCGTATTGCATTCTTGTCAGATTTTTGCATCTACAACTTAAAGCATTTATGCGAAAATTAAAGCATTTTTAAATAGCATTGGAAAATCTGAATATTTCGACTCTTAATGATATGTTAATAGTATAACCATATGAATGATTTGTGAAGTCAGAATTATTTGAACATTTACATAACATTACAACTTATTATATAGTGGACTTGGTCTGGCTGGAATCGATATGAGGGCGATGTGGCATCCGAATCCTCACGTGCTAACCCGCCGCTGCTGCTCCTCGCTCTTGATGATGCTGTCCAGGACGTTCTCCAGATTTTGTGTGGCCGCCGAAAGTTCGGCATTGTCGCTGTACGAGTCCTCGACGATCTCCTTGACCTTGTGCAGCAGCAGCTTGAAGTTGACCATCTCGGTGTCGCGTCCATCGCCGCCATTTGCCGGCGGCTGCTGGTCCAGCAGCGCGCCCAGGGGCATTGGCAGCGCCAGGGGAGCTGGCAGGGATCCAGGTCCTGGCTGCACACTGGAGCGACGCTGATCGAACCACAAGCTAATGTCGTTGAGGGAGTAATCCGATTTGTTGGCCTCCAAGTAGCTTCTATTCAATTCGGCGCCATTTACTGAAGATTACAGAAACGTTTGAGGATTCATCGATTGTTTTCATTTGAAATTCTTACTGGAGTGCGTGAGATTGGCCCCAACGGGTGCATACATGTCAAAGATCTGCCTCTGCGGCGTGCTGGAGCTGAGAAAGGTGGAGCTGACCAAAGGAGCTGCTGGAGGTGCCACACGAGGAGCTTCTCGCGGCGGCGGTGGTGGTGAAGCTGCCACAGATGAGTGCTGCAAATGGCAGAAGTGGTTAAGTAGAGCGTAATAGGGTTCAATTTGTGGCAATCCCACCGATAGCTGGCGCATATCCTCAATGATCTGCAGCAGAAAACTCTGATGGGCGCTGAGAAACTGTGAGATTTCCGAACTGGATGCGGTGGCCACCGTTTGCAGTTGGCTTTCCAGTTTCCTATAAGAAAAACAAAAACCTTAGGCTTTGCACAAAAACGGGGTTTGTCAACGCATAAAAACCCACGCATTCTGCAGCAACAAGCGATCGATGATGGACTGCAGTCGACTGGATGCCTTGCTGGCCAGCCCCGTCAGGGAGCACAGCTCCTGCTGCTGCTGGAGTATCACTGTGTGCTCCCTCTCTTTTTCCTTCTCCTTCTCCTGGCACTGACTACTGCGCAGACTGCGCGTTTCGGCGGGAATAGGCGTGGCAGCAGATTGGCCCAAGACGGCTCCACTTTCCTGGGCATTGCAGAAGCCACGACGCTCCTCCTCGTGCGTCTTCCGGGGAATCGTCAGCCAACCGCAGAGCTTGGCCAGGTGGCGAGTCCAACGCAACGGCGGCTGATCCTCCACGAACACCTCGCACATCCGGTGGCCCGGCTCGTGGCGACCGCCAGCAAAACCCACCGCGAAGCAGGGCAGGCACAGCGACACATCGCGGCACACCTGGCACCGGAAACGTATGCCCACAATGTGCTCCTTGCGGCAGCCGGCACACGAATTGCTGTGTATCAAGTGCTCCGTGTCCTCGATGCGTTTCACCAGCGCCAGCAGATTGCCGTAGATCAGGAATCGTGTCTGGACACCCGCTCCCGTCCAGAGTTTGTGGAACTGCTGTTCGGTTAGTCCACCAACGCCATGTGGACAGCGGGCAAAGCTCTGCTCCATTGTCAGCGGCAGATTATGGTCCCCGTAGGCCTTTCCCTCGCCCAGATAGCTGAGCAACTTGCTCAGCGTGGCCAGGAGCTGCTCGAAGGCGTATCTGGAGATGATCTGCGTCTTGGCATCCGCCAGCAGGCCAAAGAAATCGCCCACCAGGTGATCGCTGCTATAAAGCTTGCAGAGCAGTATGAAGGTGATCTTGATCTCGAGTAGAGAAATGGAGTGCCTGCGTTGCGGATCGTAGACATTCCAGAGGAAGTTGGCAAGCAGACCGGTGGCCCGGTCCAGCTGGTAGTTCAAATCCTGGTTGAAATGACCCAGCTTTTCGCAGGCAAAGTACACGTCGTGGAGCAGGGAGGTCAACTGAAACGGGGGAACCATTAGCTCCAAGCCGCCGCTCAGATTGTGGCGCTCCAAAATGGCCAAAACCAATTTGTAGGGAATTTTACCGCCTGCAATTTAGAGGTTAGTCCTTGGTGGTTTTTTTTTTGGGCTTAGGTTTATTGCTTGTGCGCAGTCTACTCACTGTGAAATATCTTTTGCAGCGCCACAAATTTACTGGCACACCGGTAGACCGTGTACTTGTAGTCCCCGTAATCCCGCTGCAGTTCGTCCATTATGGTGGCCAGATCTTTGTCCACCTGTTGCCCGTGTCCTTGACCCTTCGCAAGGGATCCCGTTCCCGATCCCTTCTCCCGGGCTATGGACGCCACTGCCTCGGCGCTGTTACGCATTTTTGTGAGCTGCACTGGCACCGTCATTCCCAGCATCTCGGAAAGGAAACGATTTTCTTAAATTCCTATGAATTTCCACCTTTTTACGAGTCTCTTTTGTGACCGCGTCGTTTCTCGCGATCTCTTCCTCTTCTCTTCCGTTAGCGCAAAAGTCAAATTTAAGTGCCAAGAGGTGGCAACGCCGTCGGGCTATCGATATCACTTCGATTAACCGTTATGCTTCGATTTTTATTTAAAAAAGAGGCGGCTTTAAGTAATTCATTTAGAATGAGAAAAAATGATTATGAATACCCCTACTATTCGCCAAAAATGTGTTCTTCATTTCATTATTCATTATTCTTTAAACAAATTAACATATTGCGCTGCTAAAATTGAGCCTGTTTTTAGATTTAAAACAATTTAAATTAACAAATATAGACCCGTTATATTGTCTTTATGGTAAACTTGTATTAAAATTGTATAATTAAATCATGCACATCTTATCTTATCAATGTAAAACTATAAAACCTTCTTTAAATCGAATCATACTGTAACAAAAGGGTCTTCAAAATGTTTATTTATTCGGTTTTCCGGCCAAAAACACGATTTGCGAAAATATATTTTTGAATAAGCCACAACAGTACAAATATAGAATCACACCTTTTTAAACTTTTAGTTAAAATCTCAAACAATTGGTTTTCAAACCAGATCATTTTATTTTCTTCACATTTTTCCCCAACAAATTTTGAGTTTGGAAAATGACCGCAAATGGAAGAGGATCGATATCTCGTACTGTGCAAAACAGCAAGATTTTCAGATTTTGAGTTTGGAAAATGGCCGAAAAATGAAGAGTTTCGATATCTCGTACTGTGCAAAACCGCAAGATTTGGTCAAAATGTATCCAAAAAACATGGGTTTCCAACCAACAAATCAGTGTTTTAGCCTTAGCAAAGCAGTTAATATTTAACTTAGGATAATTCACCGAACAAATCGGAAAAAAACACTAGAGGTTCAATTTTAAAATTAAATATATGTTGTATGTATATTTGCATCATTCCATTACAATTACATTAACTTACGCTTAAGTTTGTTTGTTTTTTTTTTCCATATATTTTGTTTTTGTTTTCTTTTAAAATAGTGGTTTTTTCTTATCATTTCGTCTCTTGTTTTTTCTTTGCTTATATCAATATTGTAATATGCCAAGTTTATATGTGAGTGGGAGGAGGCGGGGCGAAGAGGGGTTCGTAATTAGTTTATTTAACTTTTGTTGCCTTTTGAAAGCATTGTCCCGCTCCCGTATGCGAATCCACGACATACGTATATAAATGTTTGTGTTCACTAATCACTAATTATCATATGTGTTTGGGTTGCTATTTATATATAAAGATCGTTCTTTATTTGCAATGCGCATCTGCAATTTATTCTAGGGGGCGGTGAGGCGAAATTTCCATCGATTTGCGTATTTTAAAATTAAAAGTACATACAATCATCGATCATTATAAATCATACACGATGGGTAGGGGGATAAGGTCTAAAAGTTCCATTCAAATCCACTCTCGGTTCAGCGGGTTTCGAATAAAAACGGTACGGTCTGCAACGCAATTGAGTAATTACAAAATATATAAATATATATATATTTTGATTGTGGGCCGCTGGACGAAAAGTGGCCCCAAATGGACGCTCGATTTTTACAGGCTGTGTTTGTTTTAGCTTACTTAATTGCACATACTAATAGATCCTACATGTATAAAGTTCCATTCTTTCAGATTAGAGTTTTCGCTGCGACTGTTTGTTGGCTGTGGTTTTGGTTCATTGATTGATTGATTGCAATTGCTTGCTCGTGTTGTTGCTTGGATCTGAGAACAGAATTTGAAACCTGTCTATCGTTATATATCAATAAGGGCTTAAAGTATAAAAAGGATTCCAAATGAATTTAACATTCGTTTGTTTATTTTAATTTTAACTAAAATCATAAGGTAAGGTACACAAACAAAACCACCTCGACATCCAATACACAGGGTCTCCTGGGTCTTGTAAATTGCGCTGGATCAGAGTTGGATTGAATAAATTATGCTATGCTAAAAGTTGGGCTACAAGGATTCTCTGTTCAATTTGCACTTAAATACGTTATCGTAGTTTTAATTAGTTTTTTTATAATTAATAATATTAATTAATAATGAAAGACATTTTTCGCTAAACAAAAATCAACTATAGGTAAAACATAAAAAAACTGTTAATCGTAAAATTTTCTGTTGCTTGCGTTTTGTTTGTTTGTTTCGTTTTTAGTTTTCTTATGTGTTTAATTAATGTAAGAGAAGTCCGATATGACAAAAAAAAAAAAATTTTCTGTTGCTTTGTTGTAGATGGTAACATAGAAAATGATGTTCTTATTTTGTTTTTAGGCTGCTGTGACGTCTTTCCCATTATATTATGTTTAATATATATATATATATATATATATCCATATAGAAGTGTGAGCGCTTGTGTGTTTGGTGCGTACATTTCGCAAGTTAGACTTCAGCGTAGTGCACACTTGAAACAATCAAACGATTAAAAGCAGACAAAACAGACGCAGACGCAGGACGCAGGACGCAGATCCCCCCCGAATTCGGTTCATCCTTCTCGTTCTTTTTGGCCCAAAATCCCGGAACGACTTCCCCAAAAGCTGGACATATGCACTACTCATTGCATAAACTCTTGGAGAATGTACGGAATATGCGGAATGACCTGGAATCTATCAACCGGCCTTGTGGTGGGTGTGGTTTTTATGGATTCGTGGTTTTCTATTTTTGTGTGTGTTTTAACCTGCGCTGTCTATGCTTTTTGAGTGTGTGTGTGTGTGTGTGTGTGTGTGGGTGGCGTTGAGTGTATCCGTAGGCGTGGTTGTGAGAACACATTTAAAAACGATAATTCTCATCGGCCATGTGCACTGCCCACAGAAATTTGGTTCTTTGCGTTTTGTTGAATATCTTCTCGATCGGCACTCCATGCTTTTTACACCTGCAAACGGAACAAACGGAATATTATTAGCATATAATTAATATATAGAGTGTTAAGCACTGAGCGGGACGACACTCACCAAGCCACCGATATGCGTGGATCGAGATAGTTTAGCTTAGATGTGCCCAGGGCAATGGTCTTATTCTCGTCTCTATCAGTCTCTTGTAATTCTAGTTTCTTCAGCTGATCCTTCAGGCGTTCCAGCTGTTTGCCCTTCTTGTCAGCATTCACCTTCTCCTTCACGGATCCCCGTTTGGCTGCCTTCTTTAAATCCTGCATCGCAAAAGATGGAACATGTTGAGAATCACATATAACATATAATGGTAACTGAATAACTGCAGCATACACTGGCATATACTCACATGATATTCGGCCTCGCAATCATCGATGGCATCACGCTTGGCCTTGATCTTCTCCTTTAGGTTCTCCATCGACTTCTCGTGACCCTTGGGCACGGACCGCTGATGGTTACAGAGGATGGCCACGGCACGATTGGCGCGATTGTAGGCCAACAGCTTTTCCGGCACCGTAGCGCTCGGATCGGTGAGCAGATCCAGCTGGCTTTGCAGTGTTTTCGAGGCGTTGTACGTACGGAATACCTTGGCCGTGAGTCCTATTTTGTTCGGGGTCAGACAGTTTCACAAGTAAGTAAAGAAAGAAAGGTGAGAAAGGAGAAAGGTGAATGGGACAAGGGATATATATGCGTACCATCCATCAGCTCCTTGAGATGCTCGTTGAGCACCTGGGTGTTGAGTCGATCAAAGAGGTCGTCGCCCTCTTTCTTGTGCTCCATAAACAGCTCGAGGTTCTTGAAGACGCGCTTCTCCACCTCGACCTCGTTGTAGTAGCGAATGGAATCCTTACCGGGAAAGTCGAACACCACCACGTTCTCTTTGCCATTCAGCTCCTTGTGCAGTTGGACATGTTCCACGCGCAGCGAACAACAGCCCACGGTGTCCGCCTGATCCTCATCCTTTTCGTTACCCGCTCTCAGCGCCAGTTTGTCGATGAAATAGAGGGCCACCGCCCGCTGGCGAACCCTCATCTCCTTGGACTTCCACTCGTCGCGATAGGTGGCCCGGATCTTATCGATGACCTTGTCCAGACGGCGCGCCGTCTCGTACTTGATGTGATCCTTCTCGCCCTTGAGTTTCGATGAGGGATTCAGCATGATGTACTTCACCTGTCCCTGTACGTTCTCGATCCAGGAGGCCAGCCAGGTGACCGTGTTGTCGTGGCGCACCTCCTTCCAGCGCGAACCGCTCGGCGGTGATGGCACCGTCGACTCCTTGCCGCAGTTGATCGACACATCGCTGGCCTGGATGCGTCGCTTGATCATGCCCATTTTGGGATGCTCGCCGCGGCCGCGGAACAGACCCGGCGGCTCCAGGCGAAAGTTGCCAATCTTCTCCTTGTGCCCGTCAATCATACAGAAGCCGTACTCCTTCATCAGCGCCTCGTTCTCGTTCTTCTTGATCAGTTTCTCCTCCTTGCTGGCCGCCTTGCGCTTCTCGGATTCGGCCTGGAAGAAGTTGAACATCTCCTGGAAGTTGCACTTGCGGAAATCCTTGATAATCTCCTTCTCCTTGGACGTCATCGATTTGCGGAAGTCCTTGAAAAAGTTATTGTTGAACACGTCCTTGGTGCAGTAGTCATGATTCAACATCTTGGCATAGAAGGTGGCCGCCTCCTCCGTTTCCTCGGAAAGCTCCAGCGGCTTGCCGTCGTAGTAGAACCGCACGTTGCGGGGCACCCGCTCGTATGGTGGAGCGAACACGGGTCCCTTGTGCTCCAGCGTTGTCCACTTGACGCCATCGGCACGCTTCTCCTCCTCCCACCTGCAAAAACAAGGGATCGTTAGGTTAGTACCCCATTTATCTCAATGGCATTGCTACTTTTGGGAAATTTTAAGCAGGAAATCTTTGGAAAATAAATGTAGTACATTTTAAACCTTCCTAAAGAAAAAAAAACCTTCAAAAATGGTTTCTTTAACATGATAGATAACTTAAAAAAAGGTTTATTGAATACTTATTTCTTTAAAACTCAAAATATTTATTATTTAAGAAATGCTTTGCGTTATTTATTTTCAATCAAATAATATTATTATTTATAATGTGTAATTGATTTGAATTCGATAAACAAAGAGCGCGCTCTTACTTTTTTATAGACATACGTAAACATTTATCTTAATATTAATTTATTGAATATTTTTGCGCAAAATCAAGTTTAGTTGGTTATGTATTGGTTTACTTTATCGCACGTATACTGTAAAAATATTGCTTTTGTTGATTTGTCATACTTTTCATGCTAACAAAATGCCCGTCTTTCATTTAATGTGGATATGTTGACCTCGTTTTTGTGAAATTAAAGGTTATATTTGTGTGCGGTTTACTTTATCAAGTATGCATGCGTTTTGGTATTTGTTTACACTTTTTTTTTTTTTGCGAAAATACTTTGCCCCAGAGTAAATTCAATGCATGCAAAATGAACGCATATAATTCGTTCCCTGAATTGAGAATTGGGTTCACCCTATGGGAGGAGCGGAGCACCCTAATCACATCGTACCATCGAATTTGCTCTTCCTGAGCGCTCTTCCGTCGCACTCTTCTCTTTTTGCCCGCAACTGTGGCTATGGCCACGATCTGTTCCCCGAAAACCAGGCAAACACTCCGGTTTTCGAATAGACGTACTGCCGCCAAAGAGCGCGACACGACCGATGTCATCTGTGATCTATAGTTTTGTTTTAGTTTATCATATTACGCAAAGAAGCGGCGTTCGGACCTAACCTCAAAACCGCCCCTGCGACTGTGTGCGTTTGTGAGTGTGTTTTTGGGGAGCTCAGCTGATTTGGGAGCATGGGAAGGTAGTGAAAGGGGGCGGGGGGCGGTGACGGCGCATGCGTTTCGTGGCGAATGGCGCTCGCACAGTGGCTGCCATCTATTGCTGCCCACATTCGCTCCAGCTCAAATAAAACACACGCGACAGACAACTTTCGGTAGCCACAGTGTGTGACTTTCAAAATGTAGGTCAGTGACATTCAAAATTCACAGTGAACACATGGCACGCACACACGTGTCACACCAACACGTTGTTGTTTTTGTGACCGGTACTTGTAAAAAAAAAAAAAATATATATGTATATATATATATCGCAAGGCCAACAAATTATTTGTTTAATATATATAAATCGAACGCTTTCCCCGCTATAAATTTAAAAATTAGGCTTTACAAACGCGCGAGTTACCTGTTTCAATGATTAATCATAAGCCTTTCACCTCGAATAACCTTTGCAAAAAGTGATTTTACTCACATATCACTGTAAAGATGGTTATACTGTTTAAATGTTTTTATAAAGAGTTCAACTGTTGACTGCTGAAGCCTTGAAAACTACTCTTAAACAAATGATAAAATCAAATTGCTTAGTAATCACTGTACAAATGTTCACAATATTTATTAACTGATTGATTGATTGACTATAGAAGTGTGACTTTTACTTTACATTACTTTTACTATCAACAAAATTAATACAACTTGTTATCAATTAATTTTGGTAAGCAAGTAATTCAAAATTCTACATCAAAACGTAGTTTTTGAAATGTTATATTTTCATTAAGCCCCCAGATCCCTATGCCAACTATATTTGGCAAGTAGGATTACACCTACTGCATTTAACTTATTTTATCTCATAACTTAGCTGCATAAGTGAGTTTAATGCAAGGAAAGTCATTTTCTCGAAGCTTGGGATCTTATTGTTTCAATTATCCCTTCGAAACTTTTTAGTATTTAACTAATTATTTCTGTGTTTAAATTAAAAGTATGGAAAACATTGCTAAAATCATAATAGCAACAACTGCTTTGAGTTCAGTTACTGTTTTCTATATATTTTATCTATATAAATGGCTGAATGGAACAATAAAAACAGTAAACAGCAAACAAAGTCAAAAGTTACTTACCATCTCCACACCTCCTCCTCCTCCTCCTTGATCTTCTGACGTTTGGTGGGGGATACGGTTTCGATCTTGACCACGGACTCCTGATCGAAAGAGTAAAATTATTGAATCATTTGTGTTGACTTCAACCTAATTATCAAGGGGGTCCTACCTGTTTAATCTTTTTCTTCTTGGGCTTGACGATGTCGTACTCATCGCCGGCCTCCATCATGACCCGCTTCTTCTTGGTCTTATCTTTATGCTCCTTCTTGATCTTCTTGCGCGCCAGCAGCGGAATGTCGTCGTCATCCATGCCGCCATCGGCCTGATCGGGTTCCTCCTGCTTGCGCTTTCGCATGGCCAGCGGAACGTCCTCCTCGTCATCGTCCATCTCATTCTCGGCCTCATCGTACTGATCGTTAATGTTGCTATCCTCTTCGGTGTAGCTCTGCTCGTGCTTCACCTCGAAGGGCGGCTCATCGCTACGAAATTGGGACATGGAGTAATCGCAAGAGCTGGCTTGCGACAGATTGTTGAAACTCTCGTCCTCCTTCTTGATGTCGACAATTGACTCCTCGTAGCCGTTCTTGTAGTTGGCTCCGCCATCGTTGCCATTGCCGTTACAATTGATGGCGGTAGACGCATCGTAGCCACCTAGCTGCTGCATCTGGAAGGGATCGACGTGGCCAGAGTGCATAAGCGGTTGGGAAACGGGCTCCGGCTTGACAAACACTCCATCGTACGATGGCGGTTCCTTCGAGGACGATGACGAGCTGCTGTGCCGCGAACTGGAATGTTTGCTCTTTGATGAGGATGACGACGAGGAGGAGCTCTTGTGACTGCTGCTGCTGCTGCGCTCCTTATCACGGGAGGAGGAGGACTTATGCCGGCTGGAGGAGCTGCTGCTGCTGCGATCCTTGTCCTTGTCCCGTCGCTCCTTGTCCTTTGAGGAGCTCTTGTGGTGGCCGGACGAGGATGATGATGACGACGAGGACTTGTGCTTGCCGCTGCTGCTTCCATCCTTGTCCCTGTGGCTGGACGAGGAGCTGCTGCGATGCGAACTGCTGCTACCGTCGCGTTCCTTGTCCTTGTCTCGATGCTTCGACGACGAGCTGCTGCTGCTCTTGTGTCGATCCTTGTCGCTATAATGCATAAAATGAGGGTTATTAAATGTTTATTTATTGATTTTATACCACTGAAGATGTTATTTTAAGCCTTTATACGACGATTTATAGTCGGAATCTTACTGATCTGCCGCCTTTGGGGCACTATAAGCTATAGCTCTCAGAGAAACAATTGGGTCAAATGTTCATTACTATCGTGCTTGTGTAGGTAATTGAATAAAACTGGTCTGATTGTAGTTTTTCATGAATTTAGGAGCTACTATATCTATATCGAATGTACTTGTTACCTATTTAAAAGTTTTGGGTTTCGACAAAAATAGCTTAAAGATAGAAAGACTACCAAATTTTCTGGAAAACATATTTCTACTATTTTAATCAGTTCTTTTTTTTTATGGGATTATGTATATATTAGGTTTCTCTCAATTGTAATAACTGTTTTCCCAAAATTTTTCGGGTATTCACATGCTTTTTTGGTCTAACAAAACCTCTTTGAAACATATAACATAAGCATAGTTTAGTTAAAAAATAGCAACATACAATTGGTAGATGGAGCTATTTCATCGATTTCTCAGATTTTACTTGATTATTTTCAACTTTATGTGAATAGTGTTACTTATTACTTATTTGACTATTCCAGATAATTCTAGACAGTGTCTTATTTGCTGATTGCTATTTCTCATCGATTTGTTGTATTTTACTTGATTATTTTCAACTTAGTGTGAACAATATCATATGTCCCATGGGGGTTGACCTATTTTAACTATTCCAGATGGTTATAATCGTTATATTCTCGTACCGACTGCTGCTCTTGTGATCCTTCGATGAGCTGGATGATCCGGAGCTCTTGTGCTCCCTGTCCTTATCACGATGCTTGTCCTTGCTGGAGGATTTATGCTTGCTGCCGCTGCTCCCGCTGCTGCTGTGGTGGTGGTGGTGTCCATTGGTGGTCACCCCGTTGGATTGAAATACCTCACAGCTGCCACCATTTTGTATGTGGATATTCTGCGGACGAGAGAGAAAGAGAGAGAGAGAGAGAGAGAGATGTGGATAGAGTTATACCTGGGTCAAATAAAAAAGTGAGAGTAAATCCGGGCCAGAAACCTGTGCATCCGTCATGTCCCCTGATGAATTCCGCGCTGCTCTCTTGCAGATTCCCTATGTGGGATGGCCTTCTTTTACGATTTCGGGCGACAATTTGTGATTATCTCGTGTCTATTCGCCCACCACGTGGTGAAAATCAACCCTAACAAATGCCGCGTAGGAAAATTCACTCGAAACGAGCAGCAATGGGTTAAGCGATGAAGAAGAAGAACCGCCAGAGAGCGATGGCGACAGGAAATTGGAAATTGTTCCCGGATCGGTTGGAATAGGCTAAGAAAACTTCTGCCAAACAATGGAACACGCACACACATGCACTGGAGAATACAGAAAATCGTTTTTTACGCTCTTTGCAGCATAATTCTTTTTTCTTTTAACGTGGGCGCTGCATCAAGGCTACACTGTACACACACTGGGTGGTGGTGGTGGTTGTTGTTGTTGTTGCTGCTGCAGCATAATATTTCCCAAGTGATTATTTTTGGGGTGGCATATGTATCTGTCTTATCAGAAGAAATAAAAAAACCTCTGTATATAAATGTAATTGCAAAATGGGACACTTGCAATTACATACATGAACGCTACAGGGCAACAAAAACAACAAACACATGTGATTTTTTGTGTGTGGAAAATGCCAGTGTGACCAAATTAGGCAGTAACAACAAGAAACGGTGAAAGCACACTGATAAGGCAGAATAGAGCATAGAGGCGATGGAAAATAAAATAAGGAAAACTTATGAACAGAGTTTAGTTTTGATTAAAGAAGGGAAATCAAGGAAAACCGAAGCTTAGTGGCCGTGAAAATACCAGTTTTGGTATTTCAGCTGCGGGCACACTGTGCCAAATACATTTCGTCTGCCTCTGCTTTTCCCCTCTCTCTCTTTTGTCCCCACCTTCACCGTTTTGCCACTTGCATTGTCGCCATTTTCGTCAATTACCAAAAGTCTTTTGCTCTTTTTTTTTTTTTTTTTTTTGGGGTTTTTTTTGCCTGCATTTTACGCACTCTGCTGGCAGCGACGTCGACTGCGACGCCGACTGCAGCCGTACACTTGCAACTATTCGTTGTACCCAATTTTGAACCCATTTTTTTTTTGTTTTGCGGCAGGCTCACGATTCAACACGTTTGCACTTTCCTCCTTTGGCCTTCGTTAAATTACATAAAAAGTACAGAATTTTTCGTGCACTTACATTCTCGACGGCCACATCCCCACTCATTTTGAGGCGCTCGGCGTTCTATCTTCTTTTTCTGTCGGTCTTAAGTATTTTTTTTTCAAGCTCCGCACTGTCGTAGAATTGAGTGGAAACACTCTTGAAAAGTCCGGCGGCAGGCACTGGGGTTTTACGAGTGAGCAGCGTTTTTTGCCCTTGCTTTGGCTATTTTTCGTTTCTCAGCGCGCAGCCACGCGAACGTTCTCCGTTGACCGTTAGAGGTGGGGAATCGTCGATAGAGGTTAGAGGTGGAAAAACACCGATGGAAACATCGATGCATCGATATTTTTAAACATTTTGGGAACATCGATGTTTTATGGCGACTACCGATATTTTTTCCGCATCACTAATGTGAAGGAAGCTGAAAAGGAATATGGGAAAAATCAAGTTCGTAAATTAACTTATTAAGTGTATTGAGATAATTTTTGGTATTTAGCTGCTGATCTCAACAGCTGTGGCTCGTCAAAACGAACAAAGTCTACAGGTCAAACATTTTTTTTATGTTCTTATGAGCCAAATAAAGTGGATGGTCGATATGCTCTGTGGAAATCGAAGTTTCATACTTTTCAAAAATCCCAACGTTTTTTCAGGAATGGACTGCGTTGAAAGAGGGCTGCACCGCAGAAACATCGGTTAACTATCGCATAAATTAGTCAGTCAAAGTCCGTTAAATTTTAAATTTGGAACGGCAAATGGACCTTCCGGTCAACGGATGGTGGAAGGTGGATGGATCTCTGTGGAAAGGGTCTGTTGAATATTATTTTTTCTAGGAACATACAATTTAACTTCGCTTTCTTTCACGCAAAAAATATCTAAACATAAAAGTATTACAACTAGATCTATAACTTTTGGTTAAAAAAAAATATAATTTCCGCTTCCGGCTGTTTTTTAATTTTTCCACCAATCGGGCTTAAGGAAACCAAATTTGAAGGGATAAAAGCGAAACTAACTACTCTGATCCAGTTATTACCCACTGTTAAAACCATATAAAATGCAAGTATGTTTTATATGACTGAATTTATAAAAAACAAAGGCCCGTTAAGAAACCACAAATATTTATTTTTTAATCTTTGGAGTTAGATACAATTTACCAAATTGATTCTACAATCATTACATATTTGCCTGGGCATATCTAAATCCCCCAATTGAACGTTTGCAGGGAATCAAAATCACCTTTTATATGTATTTTCACATGATTCGATCCAAGTTGTCCACAACAACAATTCCATTAGATGTGGAAAAACATTGATGCAAATTTTGTATTAATCAATGTTTTTTATTATTTCAAACAAAAAATTTATATTTTTCGCCAAAAACATCGATGTTGCCCTCAGTAATTTGTTTAAGTTTTATAAAATCCGTTTGGTTTTTTTGTAGATAGCAGAAATGTGTAGAAAAATTCTTCTTTTTAAAGATCAACCGTTTGTTTATGTTTCAACTTTGAAAATTCTTTTTTTTTGTGCTTTGACCAATATAAATTTTAAAACACCACCAAGACCAATTAAAAAAAATAAAAATTCAAATAAAGTTATCAAATATAAATTCATAGAATGTTTAATTTATTATTTTGTTAGCGTATATTTTGAATTTGTTTTATTTAAATATATTTGTCGCATTATTCATTTACATGTTTTCATTTGAATTTAGTCATCTGCCTGGCAAATAAAATGTTCTAATTTATCACAACTAAATTCACTTAGAAATTGAGCATTCAGACCAACGCAGCACGGTATCCGAAAACTACAAATTCTTTGAAATAACGTTTCCGGGTTACCGGAACTATCCAATAACTGATGGTCAAGTTTATACTGAGAAATGTCCACCCAGAATGTTTTGTCATTTTTTATTTTTCGTATGATGTCATCGAGTTCTTTTTGATTTTGGAACGAAGCTAGATTTCCTCCCATCCGTCTACAGGTGTCTGCAGCCATAGATCGATTCTGCCGAACTGAATTTTCAATATAGAAGTTTCTAGAGCCTATCCGCTCGAAAATGTTTCGTGGTGCGGTTTCCCGAGTGACTTCTGTTCGTTTCTCCATTGTGTCCATTAGCGTGTGTATGGCCAAAAGTTGCTCGCCCAGCTTAGTGTTGCTTTTCTCACAGGATGTGCGCAGCTCTGCCAGACTTGCTTCGATCCTGACCAGCCTACTTTGGGTATCCGCGCTCTCCTCGAATAGAGGGTTGAGTGCGGCCAGGCAAAAGGAGCCACACTGACTTGGCGGATCATCAAGGAGACACACCTTTCGTTCTTTATCCTTGGAGGCGCCTAATGAGCCATGCAAACCCGAAAAGGAGCACAATAAGTAGATTACAAGTATTTTGAAAAGCATTTGTAATTAGTACAACTACTCGAGAAGAACGATTTTTGCACACTAAAAATAATTTACTTGTTGAAGGAATAAAGAAAACCCCAACATTGCTGATAAACGATTTTTTGTCCAAGTTGTGATAAACAGTTCCGGTCAACCACACTTATTAGGGTTAAAAATAATTGTTTTCTTCTGCTGGGCGTCCTAAAGTTAATCCGAATTTGCAAACATGTGTTATTCTCAAGGAATTCCATTATTAACTTCAAAACCTATAATCTGAAATGAAATGTTAGAAAAAGCCCTAGAACCCAAAAGAAATGCTCAGCAAATGTTTAAATTATCATACCGCATATATTTACTTATTTACATTATGATACCGTTTCTTTCTCAACATTAAGACTTCTGATTTCCATTTCTGTTATCGACTTAAACATGATCAAATTAAAATTATAATATAATATTCATTGTTTTTTATGAATATATGTATACAAAAAACATGCACATAATCGTAACTGTTTCCGGTTTATATTTTCATTTTCATCTCCATCTCCATCTGCATCTGCATCTGCATTTCCATTTCCATCTTGGCCACCCGTCTGTTTCCAATACCACATTCACTTATCTGTTAGCTATAGGTTTTGTTTGTTTACGTTGCTAGATAGTTGTTGTTTGCTTTAATTTGTTGGCTTGCCACCTTGGCTGCTGCACATTGTTGTTGCACTCCCCTGGGCAACACACAGGTCGTATGTATCGTATATATGTAAATCTAAAATCTAAATTCTAAAATCAATAATCAATAACAAAAACTAAGACTTAATGCAATCGTACACGTTTTAGGCTGCAACCGTTCATTATTTTCTCAGCTCAGCGGGCTGATCACTCTGCGTTCGAAAATTGTCTAAACAGATAATTTTATTTTAATATAATATATAATATATGTATACATAATGTAGTTTACGTTTTGCGCTATTTCTTTTTATCCGCATTTGTTGCAGCACTTTTTCGCTTCTTTACATTTTCACAAAATAATTATTACATAATTATCGTATCGTTTTAAGCATTAGAATCAACAAAAATTAATTAATTTAAAAATATAAGCAATTAAAAATTATATACTTGTCGCTAACGCGACCAGTGCGTAATTAAACCAACGAATTTTGTTTAATTTGCAATCATTTGTAGTATGTAGTATGTCCGCTCCACGAGGACATGATGATGATGCTCCTTGATCGGTTTATAATCCAGGTGATTAATTGTGTCTCAGTCGGAGGCTTGCGGCGGCGTCGTCTCGCTGCAGCTCCTGCGCCGCACCAGCTTGTAGCGACTCCTTAGCACGTGTCGACTTGCGGGTCCAGCTGCTGCTGCTGCTGCTACTGCTGCTGCTACTGCTGCTGATCCTGCTCCTGTTGCTCCTGCTCCTCTGTGGTCGCCAGTTGGCTTACGGCCAATTCTGTTGTTGATTCTGTGGCGTGGCAGTCCCGTTGGTCGGAATATCGAAGGTGGGGCTGCATCAACACCACCACTATCACCATCACCACCAGCATCCACTCCTGTTGCCTCCTGTCCTCTAATCCTGGCAAATTCAGTGTCCGTGCTGCCCCGTCGCACAAATCGATACTTGCTCAGACGTTGCTGTTTGATCACTTGGTGCAGTTCCAATTCCAGCTGCTGGTACTGCTCGTTGAGCCGGCGACTCCGTCTCTGGACGAGGCTTTTTATCTTGCTATTGATGTCTGCTTCTGTCTTGTCTTCCCCCTCTGCTTCACGTTCACGTTCATGTCCAACGACTCCTCCTCCTGCGACCACTGGCATCCCATATCCATATCCAAATCCTAATCCTAATCCTAATCCGATGGCGGCCTCAGCAGATGGAGCTGCTATCTCGACGGCCGACTGCGATGCCATTTCTACCGGGGCGGCAGGCGGCGCATGGGAGCCCGGATCTTGCGACGCGCCATCTGCGAATTCTGCGCCGAGTTGCCAGCGGCTGGCGGATTGAAGCTGCGGATTAATCATTGATTAGTGTCACGTTCAATAACCATCGCTTTTTGAGACTTCTGCGCGGGCGGCGCGGCAGCATTGCGAGAGTATATTCTTGTTTTTTTTTTTTTTTTTTAAATCATTAGAAAAAATCAAAATAAAGAAATAAAAAAAATAAAATACAAAAATTATGGCAACGAAATGGCAAGTGCTGTTGACAAAACGAAACAATGAAACACACACACAAAAAAGATAAACACAAACTGTGGTAGTGGAAAATGACAATAAATCAGATGGTCACAGAATATAGCAAATCTTATATCCTTTTTAGACAGAAATACATATAACATAAAGAAAGTACATAGCACTCCTATTTCATAGATAAAAACATTTAAATGAAAATTAAACAAACAAATAAATTTATGTATTTTGGTGGCTGGCAATCACTTTAGTGACAGTATTTATAGCTAATATTGCTATGGACATTTTTTTTAATCTGAGCCATTAATAAATATTGATTTAATTCATCAGAAAACTTATTTAAAGGTCAATTGGCATTATTATTATTATTATTTCGATTGACTTTCGCTTAAATTTTTATACAACTTTATAAAAATAGCGACTCACTGTGAGAACCATTCAAATCGCTTTTAAAACAAATAAAAACATGTGTCAATTGTATTTAACTATTTTGTTTTTTTTTTTTTTAACTTTTTGCCTCAAAATGCTTACATATATTGACGAAAAGAAAGTAGTGATTGGAGCCCAGGTAAAATTTTTGGCTATATCAATATTGAAAAACAATTTTTGCAAATCTTCTGAAAATCACAAACAAATATAGAAGCAGTATTTTAAATGTTAGTGTAACTTCTGTGTAAATATAAATATAGATTTCCAGTTTTTTTTTTTCACTAAACAAAAACAAAACAAACGAACAAAAACAAATGCCTTGCAAGTTAGTTAATCGTAAATGCAATTTAACGGTTAATAATGCACCTTTTTTTTATATTTTTGTGTAAACGCATGGAGTGTAAATAAAAAAAGTCAGTGTGTGTTTGTGTTGGTAAATTGGCCAATTCAAATTGGGAAAGAGGGAGATAAAAAAAAAAGAGATGCTTGGGTCCTCTCGTGTCTCGCTCGCACCCATTTGGTAGGGATAGGTTCGGCCGCCCGCCAACGGATCACCCGTCTCTCTCTTACTTACGCAAACATATTGGCTGTCGCTGGGGAACCGGCGCTAAATTGGAACGGTGCATTGGCATTCGGCGTTGACTGCAAGAAGAATATTTTTGGTTTGTTTTCCTTGGTAAATTTGTTTTGTTTTGCAAATAATTTTCATAAGCGACGGTTCACGATGGGTTGGTGTTGTGGTTTTTTTTCTTTTTTTTTCTTTTCTTTTTTTTTTGGTTTTTGTTTTTGTTTTTTGGGGGGTTATTTACAAAAAACTTTTATTCACTCTGAATTGAGTGCAAAAAGAAATGATGATGCTACATGAAAAATGATAGCTGGTGTGCGCACTAGTGTGCGTGTGGGTGGGTGGGTATTTCTGGAGTCTGTATGTGTGTGTGTATGTGTGGTGTGTGGATAATATGCTGGTATGCATGTGTGAGTGCTTGTCAAAATATTCAGATAAATTCATGCAAAACAACACTGAAAACAATTGACACAACACATCGTACACAAACTAAATTTAACTAAGCTAGAAAAGTTTGACAAGCCCTACGACACATGCATTTAAAGCCAAAGTTCAAAAGCTACGGAAATGGATAAAATTATGTAAGCATGCGGATAAAGTTTGATGTTAAATCTATATACATAAATGGAGTATGATATGGGAAAGCACGATAAAAATATCTTTAAAGATTCAATACCAGGGTTGCCGCAGAAATCTCTGACAAACTGAATTTAAATTTAAATTCTAAGCATTTTTAGAATACAATACAATTATGTAAAAATATTTTTTTTTTTTGCTCTTAATAGATTTGTTTGCAAACAAAATGTATGTAAACCAAATTATTTAACTTTTGTATTAATTATAATAACTTATTCAAGGCATAACAACAAAAAGAAGTTAGGTTCAAAAATCACATTTTGTGACCAACTAAATGACATTCTAAACTGCAAAAGAATATGCTATCTAATAAAATGATAAACTAAAACTTAAACATACTATTATCGATCTTCTGTTCGATAATAAATGATGTTATATTTGTGCAGATATTCTTTGACACTTCCAATGGCATATATGTATGTATGTATGTATATCGTTGCATATTGTAGTGGAGATTGGCAATAGGGTATTGTGTTTGTTGAGTCGACGGAACTCTATTGGATATTGACCATGACTTCGCATTACCTGCATCTGTGGCGTCGCGGCGTTAAAATTGAACATGGGCGGCGGTACGGAGGAGGTGGTGGCTCCACCCACTCCACCAGCTTGGTTACCAACCGTCGCCGCCGACGTCGAAACACCAAATTGGAAGATGCGCTGCTGCGACTGCGACTGCGTTTCGATTCGGAATCGGATTCGGATTCAGATTCAGTTTCGGATTTTGAGATTCAGATTCATATTCAGATTGATATTCACAGATCCATTTGGTACATTTTCATGTTCATTTAGTTGGTGGTTCGTAATCATAATCATAGGTGGTAGTAGGATGAATTGGTAGTAAAGTTGGTTCGTGCCCGTGCCCACATAGTATTTCAGTTTTCAGTACAGAGAGTGTACATTAAGATTTATGGAAGTGGTGGCGTAGTTAGGGAGTATACATAAATTACATGGTATACGACAATATTTCAACAGTGACAACACGCACGATCGTTTGTGTGTAGAAAGGGTGGTGGTGTTGGAAAAAAGATAAAAAGAAAAGGAGAGAAGAATACAAATAAATATATATGTAAATATATATATATGTAGATAAGTTAAGAGGTAAACTAAATAGAGTAAGTAAGAACGTTCTAAATCAATATAATCGTTCAGAGATACATATGTTATGTTAGGAGGATCAATCGATCGATCAATCGAACGATCGATCGATTGTTAAGCGCATTATTATCATCGCTATAACGCTATAACATAACGGTGGCATGCAAGACGGCAACTAAAGGGTTAAAGGGCAATATGACGGACAGCTACGACTACAACAACCGCACACAAATTTGCATGGATGAAAGTGAGAGAGGGATTGTTCATCACATCGAGCTCAGCTTAGCTCCCCACCTTCGATCATCGGGATAGTTTGATAGTTTAATAGTTTAATATTTTGATAGTTGGATTGTTCGGTCAGGTGGTTGGTTGTGGGTTAAGGCTTATACTGTGGGAATTCTGCATTTGCAATTACATATCTACTTACATCGCCGCCGGCAAGACCGCTGGCCGCCGTATTGGCCGAAAAGTTGAAGGTTGCCGCCTGAGGAGTTGAGCTCGACGCGGAGCCCGTAAAATTGAATGCAGGCTTGGCGGGCTGGGCATTGGTGGTGGTCCCGAATTTAAATGGTGCTCCAGCGGCCTAAAAAAGTCAAGATGAATAATTAGAAAAACTCGTCCCATCATCAATAGAATTGCATTTTATCAAAAACCTTGCTTAATTCAGTTAAATAATCTCCAAGCTGCAATATTTATACTAAAAATCATTCATTTAGAGTTCACTTGATTGAATTATGGGTTTTAATTTAAAATGGTCTTTCTGAATTTCAAATCGAACAATTATTACGGTCACAAAAAGGTGTTAAGTTTAATTTGTTTTTACTTTTATATGTGCCTAATAAAAACTAAACAAAAGAAAAGGTGAGAGCTATTTCTACCACTTTTGCTGATTGAGAATATATGTTCTATATCGGTAAAGCTAACAATATCCACTTTCTTGACGAGATTTTGAGACGTGACTTGGCTTATGGCAAATACAATACAATACTTACAGCTGGCGTGGCTGCTGTTGCTCCGCCAAAGTTAAATGCTAGCTTCGATCCTGGTAACGCTGTGTTGGCCGACGCCGACGCTGCAGCTGCTCCGAATCCTCCGCTTGTGCTGGTGGTGCTGCTGCTGCTGCCAAAAACGGGCGCAGGCGCAGCCGCTGCCATTGGCGTCACATTGCCAAAGATGTTGGCCAGCGGTGCAGCGACTGCGGCAGCGGGCGTGGTGGCTGCCGATGCTCCAGGCGCCACCAGAGAGTTGCCCACATTGCCAAAGATGCCGGCGAGGGCTCCATTGCCACCTAAACTAGCAGCTGCTGTTGCCGCTGGCGTCGCTGCCGCTGTCGTCGCCGTCGATCCGAAGGGTGAGCTGCTTATGCTGGTGGTGGTGCTGTTGCTGGTGCTGCTGGTGGCTCCAAACATGGAACTGCTGCCAAAGACCGGTGCCGCCATTGTGGAGGTCGAGGATGAGGACACTGCCGCCGCACTGGTCACCACTGCTGCAATGCTGTTGCTCTGGCCAGCGGCTCCATTGCTTGGCCAGCCAAAACTTGGTGGTGCCGGCGACGTTCCCAAACCGGCTGAAGATCCAAAGCTGAATGGCTTAATCGCACTGCTGCTGCTGCTGCTGCTGCTGCTGGTTGTGGTCGTGGTCTCCGCTTTCTTTTCACCCCAATTGCCAAAGAGCTGCGGGGTGGAGGTGGGCGCAAAGCTTGGAACTACAGCAGCAACGGCGGCGGCGGCTGCGGTGGTGGTGGCAGTATTGCCACTGAAGCTGGAATTGGAGTTGGTGGTGCTCACCGCTGACCCAAAGATGGAGCTTACGGTGGTGGTAGTTGGTGCCATGGCTGCCGGCGTCTGGCCAAAGAAGAAAGCCCCAGTTCCAGTTCCAGCAGCCGCTGCTTTCGGTTGACTTCCAAAGCTAAAATTGGCAGCCGGAGCAGGTGCTGCCGCCGGCGTTGCTGTGGGTGTTAGAGCAAAGGCTGTCGCAGAGGTCGTCGTTGTTGTTATGGTATTCGAGGAAACACCAAAACTAAGGACTGCCGCCTTGGTCGTCGGCTGTTGGCTACTGCTGGTGCTGCTGACAGCACTGACGGCACTGCCAGCTCCCGATACCGATCCCGTTCCCGAAAAACTGAACATGGGCTTGACAGCCGTGGGGTTCGCACTTGAGCTGGCCGTCGAACTGGACACAGTGGAGGATGAGGCTGGAGCGCCAAAGCTAAAGCCTCCCAAAGCAGGAGTGGTGCTGCTACTGCTGCTGCTCCCAATGGTAGTGATTGAGCTGGCTGTGGTTACAGCTGCTGCAGTGGTTGGAGCTTTGAAGACAAACTGGAGGGCTGGAGCAGCTGCAGCAGCTGGTGCAGCTGTTGGAGCTGTTGAAGCTGGTGTTTCCGTGCTGGATGTGGCCTTCGTTTCCTTGGTGTCCGCCTTGAAACTTACAGTCTTTGGCTGTTCCACTTTGCCGACTCCGAACGAAAAAGTTGGCACCGTCTTCTTGCTGTCCGCCACATCCTTACTCTCCTTGCTCTCCTGGCTCTGACCGAATCCAAATCTGAATTGAGACGTAGCTGGCGCTGCTGCTGAAGGGGCAGGAATGATTTCCGCGGCTGGTTTGACCACCTCTTTAACAGTCGCAAATCCAAAGCTAAACTTGGGCACCAAACTGCTGGCGGGGATGGTCGTCGCACCACCGCTGCTGCCAGATGAAATCGAGATGGCGGATGATGAGGAAGCGGAGTTGGCGGCGGCGGCGGCGGCAGGGTTCAGTTGCTCACAGCAAATGCACTTGAGGCGCGACATATCATTCTGGGCCATGCAGGCATCGCAGTCCCAACTGGCTGCCTTTTGGGCAGCCACCAGCTTCTGAAAACCCGCATCCAGTTTGGGCGCCTCAGCAGCCGATCCCGTGTCGCTCGAGGAACCAATGCTGGTGATAGACGACGATGATCTGGCTGGGGATAGCGCCGTCGATGAACCACACGATGAACCGGACGAGGAGCCAGAGGATGATCCGGAGGAGGAGGAGGAGGAGGATGTCGACGAGGAGGAGGAAGATGCCGAGTTACTCCGTGCCGATTCGCTGCTGGCGCTTTTCGCTTGCGAATTGGGCGTCTGGCAGGCGATGCACTCTGCGGCGCTCGACTGATTCATTACCAGGCACGTCTGGCACTCCCACGTGTTGGCCTTGGGCTTGAAGGTCATACCAAAACCGGATCCCGAGACGGCAGCCGATGTCGAAGCCAAATTGTTTGTGATCAGCGGAAAGCTGTTAACCTTCGGCGCCGCAGTCTTTCGTGGAGTTTCACAGGCAATGCACTTGCTGGCCTCCGCCTTGTTGGACAGCATGCAGGCATCACACTCCCAGGCAGACGAGGATTTCTTGAAACGATCGCCAAAGCCACTGCCCAGCGGCACAATCGCTGGCATGGGTGGTGGAGCCAAAGTTGCTCCCGGTTTGGCCGTCTCACAGGCCACACACTTGTTGACCTCCGCCTTGTTGCGCACCATGCAGACATCGCACTCCCACTCCTTGGATGATTTTTTAAACTGCTCACCGAAGCCCAGTGCTGGTGCTCCGTTCATTGTTGGCTGCACTGGCTGCTGCTGCTGTTGCTGTTGCTGCTGCTGTTGCTGCTTCTGCTGCTCAATTTCATCCAGTGGAGTTGGCGCCGGAAAGAAGAAATTGCGTCTGATATTCTGCGGCTGGGCGACGCAATTCTTTTGCGAGCCACCAGACAGCAGTGGCATGGGTTCCGCAAAGCTAAATGTGCGTTTCGCTGACTTGCCACCAACTGGGGCAACGTTTCCATTGGCAGAAAAGTTTACAACGCTAGCCGTTGGCTGTGGATTAACTAGGAAGTTGGTCAGCTGCTTGGAGTTTGTAGTGATGATGCTACTGCTACTGCTGCTGCTGCTGCTGCTGCTTATTTTGCTCTTGTTACTTGTGGTTGGGAGCGTGGAAGGCGGTTTCGAAGAGTCCACCACTGGCACCGTCGGTTTGATGACCAAATCGAACTTTGGTGTGCTGGCCATATCGGGGAAGCTGATTTGTGGCAGATCCAGCGGCAGGGGTGCCTCCTCCAGATCCGCGCGTGGCTCCTTGCTGCGCGTCTGGTGTGAGAGTCGCGAACGCATCTTATTGGTGTGCTGACTATGACTGGCCGGCTGATCCACCGGAGCAACGAGTGGTGGCGGCGCCGTTTGATTGGCCTTCTCTTGGCTGTTCTCCGTTCGCAGAACGCGCGTGTTCTGGCTGTGCATCAGATCGCGTGAGTTCTGGGTGACGCGATGAAGGCGTCGGCGTTCCAACAGCTGCTGCATCGTCGGCACCAGCAGTTGGCTGGAGCGCAGTTCGGCCAACTCGTTGACAGGATTGGCCACCGGAGCACTGGCAAACGAGGGACGTGGATACGGTGTAGCCGACGTACCCTGACGATGCTGGCGACTACTTTGGTGCTCCTTGAGGGTGCTGCCCATGCGTTTGACATCGATCAGGGGCGTGGAGTAGCTTTCGAGCAGACTGAGGATGCGTAGTGTGGTGTTCGACAAGCCGGAACTTGGCTTTTTGCTGTCACTCTGGCCGACTGATGACTCCGAAAGGTTACTGCTGGTCGAGGGTCGCATGTCCACCGGTTTCATGCCATAGCCCATAACACCGGATAGGGATCCCTGCAGCGTATGCGCCGGTGAGCTGCCGGCTGAATTAATGGCCAACGTTGAGGAGGCAGCAGAGGAGCTCAAATTGCTGCGACTGAAGATGCGATTGTTCGCGGAATTGCCGCCAAAGGTGGTGCGTCCCTGGTAAAAGGGCGAGCTGGAGGCAGATGCAGACCCCGAGGTTGAGGCACTGCGACTCAAGAGGCGACTGTCGCTCAGCGCCGATGTGCTGCCGTAAATGGAGGCATTGAAGCGACGACGCTGATTCAGTGAGTTCAGAGACCACGTGGAATTGCGGTGAGCTGGTTGGGCGGTGGCGTTGCTTCTGTTAAATATCGACTTGGTGCTCTGCAGATTGCCATAGAATTCCAGATTGCTATTGCTGTTATGATGCGAAGGTCGCAGTCCATCGTGTCCTTCGCTATTATCGTGGTAATCGTTTATATCGCCCTCGGACTGCGAATCTCCGCCAGCTGCGCCTCCTACTCCTCCTCCATCTCCACCTCCTCGTTCGACCACTGCCGACAGTTCGGTTCGTCTTGATTTGGACTTGATGACATTGTTGTTATTATTATTATTATTGTTGCTTATGTTGTTGTTGGTCTTGCTGATCCTCAGTAAATGATCGAGGCGATCTCCGTCGGCACCAGTTCCCGTCTCGTCCATGGTAAGATCACGACGATGAGTTCGGTTGCCCAAGAGCGAGGGTCGCTTGTGGTTGGGAAGGCTGGAGGAGATGGAGAGGCTGTTGTGGCTAGTTGCGGCGCTGCTGCCGCCGAAAGGTATGTTCAACGAACGGCGTATGCTGAAAAGATTCAATGTTTTGCATAAATAGCTATATTACGCTTAACTTGTAAGGTCAAAATGGCAGGGTGACTATTAAAAAACGTATTTAAAAAGAATTCTTTCAAATATTTATCTGTTTAAGTGTGGTAGTTTTAAAAATCTTCATAAGTATGAAATAAGCTTTTAGAAAATCAATAAGGTAGCATAGATAGGCACAGAGAAATAATTTGTATAAGATGGCCATTTCAAGGGATCATTTTAGCTGGAAATAAGGATGGGAACTGGTCGTGAGTTACCCACCTGTGCGGCAGATCCCCTGTACTGCCCTCGGCGGCTTCGTTGCCCGTGAAAAAGTTGTAGGCGGGCTCGCGTTGCCGTTGACCGCCATACAAATTGAGATGGTTGCGCCGGTGTGGAGCCAATTGGATGCTGCTGCTGGTGCTCCTAGACCCCGACATATGGGTGGAGGAGGAGGAGGAGGAGCTGGTGGCGCCCACGAGTGGAGCAGCGGGCGTGGATGACAATAAAGGCAGACGACGCATGTTGGGCAAGTTGACGGTGGTCTCCAGCTAAAAAAAAAAAAAAAAAAAAAAAGAGATTAAAGATGAGGTGGTGGTAAGTGGTAAATGTAGAAATGATTCGAAATGTGCGAGCACTCACCTCCAGACGTCGACGCTTGGGCTGCACGGCGGCGGCCTGCAGGAGATTTTCCTGCTCCTCATCGTCGTCCTCTTCGTCGCCCTCGTCTTCCTCCTCCTCCAGGTCATCCTCCTCGACCTCATCATCGTCGCCGCCGGCAGCGGCAACTGCCTCGCGTCGCTTGCGCAGCAGGAACTCATTGTACTCGCTGCGCCGCGTCTGCTCATCCTCGGCGGCCAGATCGTGCTCGGCTATGTTGTCGGCCAGGGCCACCTCCTCGTAGTTGAGCCCTCTGGCGTCGGAGCCATCATCCAGGTCATCGGCCGCATCCGCATCCGCTTCGGCCAGCATGATGCGACGGCGTCCACGTTTCCGTTTCGTGGCGGTGCGTCCATTGGACTGCCGTGGCTGGCGGAGATTTGCGGATGAGGATGAGGCGGCGGCGGCGGCAGTGGCAGCGGAGGATTCGGGGCCTCCTTTAGACGATGGCGAAAACCAGCCGCTGAGGGAGGCGGGAAGAATGCTGGATACGCGCTTCTTCATCTTGCCTATGATGGACTGCAAAGTGGGATGTGTGTGTGTGTGTGTGGTTGTGTACAAGGATTTGGATTAGGTGTCATTTGGATTCGGGAACACGAGTTCCAGGCGTCGACTGTACTTACGTTGTTGTTGCCGCCCGAGTGCAGGGCTCCCGCCGAGGATTCATCCTCCTCCTCCTCCTCCTCTTCGGGCATCTCTCTTAGCGGCGTCAGTGGATGCAGTTTAGTCAATTCCGCTTGCGAGGATTCTCTCTGCTCCTGTCCATCCTCCATTATGCCAATTCAAATTTTCGGTTTCTTTTTTAGCCGGCGAAGCAACGGCACAAAAGAGAGACACAAAAAGCCAAAAAGAAGCGCCGCCGCACACACAACAACAAAACGTGAGTAAAAAAAAAAAAGAAAAAAAAAGGAGCACACACTGTTGCAATTCCTGCCCGCGAGTTCGTGTGTGTGTGTCGCTCGCTGACACTCTCTTTCTCTCTTACTCTCTTTCTGTCTGTGCGTGTGTGAGAGTGTGAGTACGCTTACGCACGCCGTGGTTTTAAAATTTTTTTTTTTTATTTTGTAGTTGATTCGTTGAGATTTCACACACGCGGCGATTTTTCAAAAACTATTCTGTTTGACTCCACAAACTGGGTGGAAATGCTTTGACAATTTTCTGAACACTGTAAAAGTAGAGGCGGGAAAAATGATTTGGTACCAAATACGGGCAAGGCGTTCGGGATGGGTTCTTATTGTTTGCTGAGATTCCCTTACCCCTTTCCTGCATTCCGCCTGTATTCTTTTTATTTTATTTTTAATCGCCGGACAGCACCGCCTGTCCGAATTTTTATCGCCTCCCTTTTGTCTTTGTGCTTCTTCCGCCTCGCACACACTGCTTTCGCAATTCTTCGCTTCTCTGCTTCACTCTTCTTTACACTAACACACACAAACGCGCGCTGCGAATCGGTACGAATTTTGGCATTTTCCTGCGTGCAAATTGCACGCACTTGTTTGCAACTTTAGCTCCGTGCCCGCAATCAAATTTTCAATGGCTGCGCACATATAACGCCGAGCTGATTTGTAAGAAACGAAATTAACACTTCACAAAAAAAGCACGATTTGGGAAAAAACGCGTGTGAAGTGACGAGTAAAAATGCGGCGAGTGGCAGTGTGATCGCAGCCGTGGCCTCTGAAAAATACCAATGGCTGAATAAAAAAATATACCAAAAGCATAACATAAATATACTGCGAAAACATTTCGAACGAGTATTTCAAATAATTTCAACGAGTGCCAAATGTGGCGGTAAAATTTAAAGTTCACAAATTTGTTTTATTCGCATGTAATGACATATTCTTGAAAAAAGATTGAGCTACGAAATTACGTTTGCTTGGGAAATAAAAAGTTGATATATTCAACGCACTAAAAATACAACATATGGGAATTTTTGGATCATTGAAAACCATTTCAAACAACATTTCGTAATATTTTATTTTGTATTTACAATGAAGCTAAAGCATTAAGAAAGCAAAAATAAAGGCGCAAATATCCAACCCAAATAAATAAAGTAATAAAGTTTTTTTTTAATTAAAACTAATGAAACATTATCAAATTGGCGCCTAATATACCTCATCGTCTTCCAATCGATAACGATATTTGTGTAGCTTATCTAGCCATCGATATCAAAATCGTACCAATCGCTCAAGCTAGTTGTTATTGCATTGCACAGGTGTTGTTGTTGTTGTTGCTGTACTGGACTTGGATTGGCAAACAAGTGTTAAAACAATTGTGTGCAATATTTATTGTCGCAACTACCGCGCTCGTTTGGCCAACGGAAAAAAAAAAACGCAGATTAGGGGCGGTAGCAAACAGAACATCGGTTTGCACAACAAACTCAATCAGTTGGGTAAACAACAGCTGCGAGTGGCCAGCCATTGGGTTATCTGTTCATCTGGATTGGATTTCTGCACAGAGCAACCGAAATGAGCCAAACGGAGGCGACCAAGACGACGACGATGAGTTCGGTGGATGAGACGGCGGCGGCGGCGGAGACGGCGGCGATGGGCAGTGGAAAGCAGCAGCTGGAGACGTACCGGGTGTACGTGGTCACCTGGAATGTGGGCAGTCGCTTTCCGGATAACATATCGCTGCGCCAGCTGCTGGGACTGCAGGATGCAAAGGAGTCGCCGGAACAATCGCACCACCTGCCCGACATCTATGCCTTGGGGCTGCAGGAGGTCAATGCCCAGCCGCAGCAACAGGTGCTGGGCCTGTTCAAGGAGGATCCATGGACGCACAAGGCCAAGGAGCTGCTCCGCGCCTACGACTATGTGGCCGTAAAGACGGAGCAAATGCAGGGACTGCTGCTCAGCATGTTCGTGCGTCGCCGTCACGTCCAGCATCTGCAGGACATCGAGGCGGAATACACGCGCACCGGTTTCGGTGGCATTTGGGGCAACAAGGGTGCCGTCAGCGTTCGCTTCACCCTCTACGGCTGCGGCCTGGCCTTTGTGGTGGCCCACCTGGCCGCCCACGATCATCAGCTGGACGAGCGTATCGAGGACTACAAGCAGATATTGGAGCACCATCATTACCATGTCAAGCGGTATCGCGAGATCTACGATCATGACTATGTCTTCTGGTTTGGCGATCTCAACTTTCGGCTGCAGGGCGGCGACTCCTCAACGGAGGTGCGCGAGCTGTTGCGCGACGAGGCCAACCACGAGGCGCTCATCCAGCGCGATCAATTGTTCCAGGTGCGCGAGAAATCGCAGCAGGCCTTTCAGTTGCTGCAGGAGCGTTTGCCCGCCTTTCCGCCCACCTTCAAGTTTCGCGAGGGCACCTCCGAGTACGATCTGAAACGGCGGCCGGCCTGGACGGATCGCATCATGTACGCCGTGCAGCCGCTAAACCGCCAGCCTGGCATGCAGCTATCCATCGAGCAGTGCTCGTACAAATCCCATCCCGTGTACACGATCAGCGATCACAAGCCGGTGACCAGTGACTTTGCGCTGAAGCTCTATCCGAATGTGCGGGCGCCGGGCGTGGTCTTCTCACCGCTGACGCTCTGGAAGATTGGCGACGAGAATACCGTGGAATACCGCAAGCAGGCGGAATTCGAGGAGGGTCCCAACGACTGGATTGGCATCTATCCGGCGGAGTACGCCAGTCTGGCGGACTATGCGGCCTATGAGTATGTGAATCAGGCCGAATCGCCCGCCTCGTCGGACTCCAATCACGAGGCGGATCCGTTCGATACGCCAGCCCATCATCGTCATGGTCGGCACCATCATCGAAACCGGCAGCGGCTGCGCCGGCACCAGGAGGCCAATGCCCAGGAGCAGGTGCGTCTCGATTTCGCCGACGATGTGGAGCTGCGGCATGGCGAGCAGTATCTGTTGATCTACTTCCGCAGCACCGGAGTGCGGGGCGTGACCAGCCTGGCGGGCATCAGTGCGATCTTTGTGGCCGAGAAGCGACACGGCTCGCCCCATCGGACGGAGTACCATGTGGACTAGCTGGTCGAGGCCCTCGACATCCATCTCCTTTAGTCACCGCTGTGCAGCTCTTATTTCTCTGACCCCGTGTTAAGTTTGTTTATTTGTTTGTTTGCTTGGCTGTTTGACTGTTGACTCAGCGTCGTCCAAACCAAACACCCAAAAATACGTTTAAATGTAATTATACAATGTTACCCAACCAATCATGTTTGTGTTACTACTACCACCACCTTTCCAATCTTTACCAACCCCCCCCCATCCATTTTGAATCCTGCTTCTATTTTGCATCGATTCTGTTGTCATTTTGTTATTTTTATTTGCACAGTGTCATGGCATTAGATTTTATATTATTAACCGGTTTCGCAAAGGTTAATTGCGCCGCTCACTGTCACACACTTAGGCTATGACACACCCGCGCACAGTGGGCCCAAAAATAATGACCATTTCCAAATTGATTGGGTGCACAGCTCAAGCTTTGAAATCGAAAAGAAAAAAGATTAACCAAGCCAAATGGATCTACAGTCTGTAAAAGTGATAATTTTGAACTTTCCCAAGTGAAGGATTCGAAAAAAATGCTGATATTAGCGGCGGCATCAAGATTAATGTACGTTGATTATTTTTTACCAACTTTAAATAGTTTAAATGAATTCTTTTTCATACTTCAAAAATTCATTCATTAAATTCATTCCTTAAGTGGTATTTTGACAAAACAGAAACAAATCAAATATAAAAAATAAAACACAAATTGGGGGAAAGTTTGCCAAGAAAACTTTTTTTTCAGTTTTCAAAATTCAAATTTAAAACTCTTTAAAAAAAATACAAAAATTAATTTACGCATTTAAAAAACTAAGTTTGAATTTAACAAACCTTTGACCACTAAAATATCAAATGCTACACCACCTTTTATAGTTGAATACCAAAGTTTTTTTAATTAATTTTTGAACTATCAAATTGAACAATTAATGAGAACAAAACAAAAAACGGTTTTTATACCCGTAACCATAAAGACTTTTATAGGAAAGCGAGAATTATGCCCAGATGTATTGTGCTATAAAAACTAATCCATATTATTGATATGACCAATTTTTAGCAAATCATAACGTTAGTTTTTATATTAGAACTGCACTTTTATGATAGTGGTTAAAAAGTTAGACCACCAAGAAGTAATTTTATTGCGTTAATTATAGTTGGTTATATGACAACCGATATGCAAAGTCAACAGTGGGCCACGCAAGTAAATTAATGCCCACTGTGCTTGGCAATATGGAATGGTGCAGACTTTTTATGGCCCGAAAACGAAGCATAAATTTATGCGGACTCGGTCAATTGAAATTCGTGTGGCTTAATAACCTTCAACAACCATTAGATAACTATAACTACTTTGACCACACACACACACACACCCGTAAACACTTATCCAACGTATGAAAAAAACACCTACATATATACACAGGAAATATGCCTTATCAAAGTGTACATTAATCAATTAACTTAATCAAGTGAACAAATTTACAATTGTGTAGTAAAATGTATATGAAAACGACGATCGTTTGCTTGTGGGATTTCGGTTAATGATCGGTTGGGAACTATATTTAGTGCAATATGTAACCACTTTAAGAACCCATCAAACGGCCTAATAAAACATAAATAGCTAAATGAAAACCTTTTCTTTGCCTTGAGGTATTTTGCACCATAATTAAATCTATATATAGCTTTCTATATATGTAAGTGTTTTTCCTATTTAACGTTTGCGTAACTAAACTATAACCATTGATCTCTAAAAGAGCCCATGAAGTTCGGCTGCACCTGTAAAGATATATTAAAGTAATAGTATTTATCTGGCACAAAATGTAAACATAAAAAAAAAACATTTATTTATGGGAAATAAAAGCATTTTTTCTTTACGAACTTTTCACTTATTTCAGACCTCAGACCTTCCCTCGCGACCAACTATCAATAACCCCTCGTTACAGATCCTCTCAAGCAGCCAGGGATCGTTGCTGCCGGAGGATATAAGTTAAGAGGTTGACGAACTGCTGCCAGGTGGTTAGTTGACAGTCGATTTTATTGCTAGGCTCTTGATTTTTTTTTTGCTAATTTGAAACGTCTTTTGTCGGTTAGCCGGATGGTTTTTTTTTTTTGTGGGAGCTGTGCTTTAGCATTTTCTGTGGGGGCGGGGGATTGGCGCAATCTTGAAATCGTGTTGGGCTGTGAAGATTGGGTTGACGACGGTGGCGGACATGGTCCAGTTGCAGTTCCATTTCCTCCGTTAATCATCTACGGCGGCAATCCGAGGGTTTTGCGCACCAATCGACGGGCGATGGCGTTGAACTCTTCTCTTCGTTCGCGCCACATAATGGCGGCATCGACATTGGCGCCACTCTCATCGTTGGGTTCTGTTGGTTGAAAACGAGGTCATTAGTTGGCTGATGGTACAAGAACTAGGCATTCTTTCTATTGGTGTCGCGTTTGCTCATGATGCTAAGTGAACAGAAAGCGTAACTTGTTAATTTAACTCACTTTTTCTTTTGCCATTTTTGAACATTGTACTACAAGATCAATGGGCAAGTGAACAGGCAAGGTAAGTGATTTAGTTCACTTGATACTTTGTTCATTTAACGTGTTCACTTTTCCACTGTTCATTTGTTCATTGTGCGACAAGTTCAGTGGGTCAGTGATCAAGGTAAGGTAAGTGAACTTAAAAAAAGGAGAACATTTTGTATGCTATTACGATGTTTACTTGATATTTTGTTCATTTGTTCACTTTGCTCCGCACTTAGTTTGTTTACTTTGACTATATTATGAATAAGATCAATAGGAAAGTGAACAAGGTTAATGAACCCTTTTTGTTAAGTTGTTCACTTGATCTTTTGTTTAGTGGTTCTCTTTGCTTAGCTGTTCATCCGTTCACCGGGACAAGCTCAATGAGATGGAAAAGTGAACTCAAAAAGTGAATAAATAAACCAAATGAGGTAACAAGTGATCACTTAATACCTGAGCCAGTGGGCAAAGTGAAATGAATGCTTTAGGCGAATCTAGGTGACTTCTTACCCGCCAGCATGCTGACCACGCTGAGCAAGATCTTCTCGACGCTCTGGACGGGACTCCAGCGTTCCGCGGACAGTTCGTAGCCCATGGGATCGTCGCCAGGGGCGTGCAGTATTGATATGCAGACTCGTCCATCGGCGAAGATGTTGGGATGGAACATATCACAAGTGAATTTCATTTTTGGCGGACTCAGTGGGTAGTCGGGTGGAAAGACGAGGCGGGCGGGAAACACGCCGCCCTCGAAGCAAGTGCCCTCTGGTCCGCTGCAGAAAAAAAAAAAAAAAAAAAAAAAAAAAAACAGAGCAAAGGTTAAAGGGTAAATCTGGGTTTTCCAATATCCAGGTCATTGGATCCGCATGGAAATCCAAACTCAACTCACGCAATCAGTGCCTCCCACTCGAAGAAATTGTCCTCGCTGATGGGGCCGGCCACAATGCCCTCGGGCGGGTCGAGTGTTAACTCTGGCGAGGATTAGAGTCATGAAGCCATGAAGCCATGTCATTAAATATTCGGTGGACTTTGCCTTACGTTTGTATTCCGCCATCAGGCGACGCAGCGCTGATCCAGCCATCCCCGATATCCTCCTTGGTTGCTCCTCTAATCTCAGTCCACTTCGCCACCTCCTTGTCCACCTGCTCCTCCCGTTACCGTTCCAGATCCTCCTGTTCCACTTGTCTCGACGGCGAGCGCGCACTTTCCAGTTCTCCGGACACCGGGGTCAAATGCAGACACGTCGTAATAAACTCAAGCCTTTACTTTCCTTTCCCTTCGCTTCGCTTCGTTTCGTTTCGTTTCGTTTATTTATATTTTATTTATATTTTTTATGCTAGTATGTGTTTTGTCAATGTCGTCGAGCAAAAAAAAACGAAGTTAACATCGATTAAAATGGATTTTTGACTTTGCCGTTGATGGCAATCGATGTTTTAGTGTGACCGTGTTTCGAGAACTATAAAATTTATTTACTGTAAATTTAAATAAATTTAATACACAAATTGGACTTTACTTAAATTTTTTAAACTTCAAGAATACTTTGCATATTTAAATACTCTTTAATTGCTAAAAAAAATTATTTTCATCATTTATCTTGCACTGTGGTATGGTTAAACGAAATTAACATTTATTTGAACTTCTAATAAAAAATTATACCTAAATTCAAAATAACTTTAATTTAATTTATTTTTTTTAACATTTATTTTAACTTCTAATAAAATTGTATCTGAATTCGAATTAATTTTGTTGAAGATATAATTTTACTCAATTGGAATAAATCAAAAATGTTATTATTACTTATTAATTATATGCAGTTATAATTTATTGTGCTACTATTTGGACAATAAATAGTACATAATTGAAAATGTTACTGACGTTCGAATACTTTTGCTTAAAATATAATTTTATTCAATACTTTTCATTGGATTAAGCTAATCCTTATGTAAATAGCTTATTATTTATATACATTCATAATATAATTAATGTATCACTATTGTTAAGAATAAATAATTAACATATAAATTAGTTAGAATAAGCATTGCTTAATTTCATTTTAAAATGTCTGTTAAAAGAGAGCGTGTGATTTTTGTAAAGACAATAAACGGTCCCACTAATTCCAATTGGGATTAATAACAAATGTGGAAAAATCTTGGAAATTAAGCCACTAAATCCGCTTGCACTTTGGCACTGGGCAGCGGAGCTTGACCGCCGCCGTGGGACAGCAATCTCCTGGCCCCAAACCACATTGGGAATCTCCATTTGGAGCTATAACCGCCGGCAACCGGCTTCTCCACACCATGGTTATCAGCAGCAGCAGCAGGAGCATGCCGCCGGCCAATGGACCCGTGCCAGGTGGCAACGGAGGCTCCTCCCGCCTGTCCCTGTGCCTCATCCACTTCGTGCTCGCCATCATCTCCGGCTGGGGATTGAAACGTAGCACCGGCAGCCAGGCACTGGCCGCCTTTGGGATCTACTTCGGGCACAGCCTGCTATGCCTGCTGCGGCACACGCATCCCAATCCGGGTGCAGTGCAGCGACTGCTTTGCGACAAATCCCGCAGGTACTCCTGCGTCCTCTTCGTCACCCTGGTGGTGGGTGAGCTGCAGGCCATAAATCCGGCCACCCGGATGGCTGACTTCTTCGGTGCCGACTGGGAGCGCCTGGCCTTTGGACTCTGGACCATTGTCCTGGCGCTGGCCGTGACCAGTTTGTGGTTTGGCGGAACGCGCAGTTCCCTTGGCGCCACGTTCATCAAACTGGATGCCGCCCAGCTGGGTCTATGCGTACTGTGGAATGTCCACTGTCTGTGGCGCATCGCCCTCGTCGACGAGCACTGGTGGTCACTGGGTCTCGCCGGTCTCGTTCTGCTCAATCACTTTGTGCTGTGGCGCCTGCCGCTGCACTACAACATCACCCAGCTGGAGGTGGCCACCGTGGGCATGTGTTTCAGCACCATCTTTGCATTGAATGCGATCCAGGAGCAACTGGATGCGGTGGCCAGCTGAGGGCAACTCAAGTCGGGCAACCGGGGACGGGGACTGGAGCCCTGGTTGTCCAGGTCTAAGGCACACCTTCATATTTTCTACGATTCATTATTAATCACTAGCTAGCTAGCAATGTTGTTGAACAATACGTTTGTGTAATAAACCAGAGTTCTTGGTTTGAAGCTTTAATTTATGTGTTAATTTTGTCGTATAATTTGTAAACTCTATTTAAAGTTCAAAACCAATTTGGGAACTATTAAGCCAACACTAAAATAGGATAAGTCGACCTCAGGGAAATTATTTGTTGGAATACTTTGTTATAGTTTATGTTTCATGAACTTAAAATACTCAAGATCAAGTTGAGTTCAATTTCTTTGTATCATTTTAAATGATAAGTTAAGTTAAATATTTTCCAATTTATTTTGAAATCCTTGCAAGTTGCTTGTAAAACACAAAATAATGAGTTTCATAATTAGAACATACCCTGGAATTTACTATTTATGAACATTATCGAGATTAGATCTCAAACTTCTAATTCTAGTTAACAATTTTCTAAATTTATCAACTGAAGTCCCCTGCAAGCTAAAAATACGTTTTAATTATGAAAACTCCAGGAAAGAATAATTAATAATCTGAAAAATTACTTTTATATTACGCAAAAGCGTAGTTTCTCATCAATTGACTTTCATAGGAAGACACAGATTTTGATTTGTTTTGCATACGCTTTTTAATACACATTTTGTTGCTTTAATAATAATAGTTAAAACTATTTCTCTATGCGCTTTATTACATATTGATCTGGGTTTTGAGTTGCTCAACTCTCTCCGGTTTTCCCCGCTGCCCGCAGTGTTCCACGCAACGAGCACCGATGAAAACCGAAGGCCGAAGACTAACACTCATATATGTTAAGGAAAATTACAAGTAGCAAGTATACATAGATCGAAAGAATGTGAAAAACATAACCTTAGGCCTACGAAATAAAAATAATTGATCCGGATCAGCCGGTTGGGAAGGAGGAGCTTGGGTTTGGGTTTGGGATTGGGTTTGCTTATGGTTATGGGTCAGAATATTGATGAATGATGAATGATGGATGGTGGGCTGGGTGTGTGTGTGTGTGTGTGTGTGTGTGTGGTTGTTTGGCTGGCCAATCTCCTAGGCATGGGTGCTGTCGTCCTCGACAAAGTCCTTTGCCTCCTCCCGGGTCACACAATCGATGTGGCTGACCTTGTTCCGGAACCGCACGCCGTAGAACTTGTGCGCATTCTCCAGCAATTCCGGCCGGAACGTCGTCGTAATGAACTGGGCCGTGTCGCTCAGCTCGTGGATCATGTCCGCCACCGCCTTTCGATGCATTGCATCCAGGGCCTGCACAAAAATAAATTAAAATTAGTAATGATGAGCACAAACAAGAAAGAACGGCTATAGTCAATTGCAACCTAGCTAGCCAAAATTTTCAAATATATCTTTACTTTTATGCTTAATAATTCTTAAATAATAGTTAGATTTTGAATATTTTTATATGAGTCGATAGGTATTGCCCAGATAAACAGATAAAGTTCAATAACTGATTGACTTTCCCGATTTGTAGGCATGGCCATAATATTTATAATAAATAATGCGTAGGCATAAATATAATCATGCTTCATGCTTCATGTCCCAAATCTCTAGCTTTTATAGTTTCCGAGCTCTCGAAGTTTATACAAAGTCTGCTACAGATCGAGATCAAGAATATATATAATTTACAGGATTGGGAAACGCTTCCTCCTACACGTTACATACTTTTCGACAAATATACAATATACAATATACAATATACGCTTTTGCTCTATAATTAGGGTATTAGTTTTGCCTCACCTGATCTATTTCATCGAAAAGATAGAAGGGAGCCGGATCGCACTTTTGGATGGAGAAGATGAGGGCCAGGGCGACGAGGGACTTTTGCCCGCCGGACAGCTGGTTCATCTCGCGCATCTCGGCCTCAACGCCGGTGAAGGAAACACGAATGCCGATGCCCGTGAAGGCATCGGAGTTCTCCACCTCCTTCTCCATTTCCTCGCCGTCGTTGTCCTTGGTCTTCAGGATGAGATAGCCGGCGCCCATGGGCACCAGTTTCTTGAAGACCTTGGTGAAGTTCTGGGCCACCTGGCGGAAGGTGAACTGAATGGCCTCGACCTTTTGCATCTCCAGCGACTGGATGAGCATGTGGATCTTCTGATCGCCAATGTCCAGCTCCTCCTTGCGCTTATACAGTTTCTCCTTTTGCTCGGAGAAGCTGAGGAACTGATCGAGGGCCTTCTTGTTCACATGATTGTACTTCTTCAAATGCTGATTGGCCTTCTCCAGCTCCTTGAAGATGTTCTTCAGCGAGATGCGACTGTAGGCGGCATCCACTTGCGGCACCGCACCCAAACTGGCTATCTTCTCCGTGCACTCGTCGATCTTTTCGTTGAGCATGTTCTCCTTGGTGGACCACTTCTCCAGCTGCTTGGAGTCCTTGTTCAAATTCTCCTCGGCCTCCTTCTCCTTGCGTACATGCGTCTCCAGCTCCAGTTGCAGCTCCTTCTGCAGTTGCACCGCCTCGGTTACCCGCTTTTCGATCTCCTCCAGATCGGCATTGACCTTCTTGATTCGCTTCTCGGCCGAAACCAATTCCGTTTTGCAATTGTTTAGCTTGCGTTTGCGATCCTCCACGGAGATCTCTTGCAGGGCCTGGATGAGTTCATCACGTCGCCGGAAGAGATTGTTGATCAACAGATTGTCCAGCTTGTTTTTGCGCACCTCGAACTGCATGCGCTGCGTGAAGGCCTCCTTGTTCTCCTGATTCAGACGTCGAATGTCATCGTTTAGCTGATCAATTTCACGCTGATCCTGCGACGACAGCGTGGACATCAGCTCCTGCTTGAGTTCCGCCTCCAGGCTGGACTTGGTGCTGGTCATCGACTCCAGCGAGGCCTTGCACTGCGCCAGCGAACGCTCCTTGGGCGCCCGATACTGTTCGATGCGCACCAGTTCCTCCTTCATCAGCCGAATCTCGCCCTGCACCTTCTCGAAGACATCCTTCGACTTGCCCTGCTTCGTCTCCGTTTTCTGCATCTCGGACACAATCGAATTGATGTTGTTCTCGGTGGACTTCAGTTCGTTGCGCAGTTTGCCCAGTTTCTTTTCAAATTCGGCTATCTGGCTGGTGTATTCGGTGCGCTTCTTTTGCATCTCCAAACGGGAGCGTGATGTATTGAAATAGCCACCGGTTAGCGAACCCTTCGACGACACCTGATCGCCGTCCAGGGTCACGCAATCGAGACCCGTGCTCTTGGCCAGTTCGGTGGCACGTTCCAGATTGCGACAGATCAATGTCTTGCCAAAGATGTAACGCAACGCTTTGTCGTGCTGCTCATCGTATTTCAGCTTCGAGATCATCGGTATGGAGTCGGGATCGTCTGGATAGTCGTGAATTTTCACCTGTAGACGATTGAGCGGCATGAAGGTCACCTCGCCGGGCAGCTTCAGCTTGTTCATCTCCTTGAGGATCTGGGTGCCCTCGTATTCGGACTCAACAATGTGATGGAACAGTCGATTGGCGGCCGTCACCTCGACGGCCGTGTAGATGGTCTTGTCGCAGCTAAAGTTCTCGATGACGGGTCCATAGTAGGCGCGTGCTATCTCCGCCGATTGCCCGCCACGCTCCTCGAAGCTGTCCAGCACTTTGCGCACCGAGTCACAGCCGTTGAGGATCGGTTTGCCGGCCATGCTGCGCAGCGCTTGATCGGCACGCGATAGCTCCTCCTTGTGCGTCTGCAGCTGTTGCGTCATCTGCGTTTCCTTGCGCCACAGTTCGTTGCGCATGGACTGGTGCTGGTCCTTGGTCTTCTTAAGCTCATAGTACTTCTTGTTGTGCTCGTCGATTTGCAGGCGCAGTTGCTCCAACTCCGACGAATGCTCCTCGATCTTCTGGCCAAGATCCTTCTCGGAGGTGGCATCTTTCTTGAGATCCTCCACCAGCTTGGCATGATGGTTGATCTTGTCGCGCGTCTGTTTGCTAATTGACTTTAGCTCGTTGGTGATCCACTTGTCGCGATCCTCGCGTGACGAGAACTGCGATCCGCGACCCTGCTTGGCATACAGCTCCTTGCGCTTTTGCTCCTTGAGCTGCAGTTCGCGGGAGCAGTCCTCCTCCTTCCGCTTCATTGCCTCATATTTGGGCTTCACGTCGTCCAGTTCCTTTTCGCGTTCCGCTATGGTAACCTTGAGGTTTTTGAGCTCCTGGTCGGCGCGCTCCTTGGACTTGTTGTCGCCCTGCACCTCGTCGTTCAGATCGACGATGGTCAGGTCCAGTTTGGTCTTCTCGCGCAGCAACTGCTGCTGTTCGGTCATCAGGACGGAGCGCTCCTCTTTGGTGCCCTGCACCTTCTTCTTGGCCTCCTTTAGGTTCTTTTGCACATCCTTGATCTTCTCCTGCGCCTTCTGGATCTCGATGTTGTAGATCTTCTTCTTGTCCGACGACGATTTGCGCTGCAGCTGCAGCTCTTCCAGCGCCTTCTTGGTGTCCTTCAGCTCCGTCTCGTAGCGTATGTACTCGAGGGTGCGCCGCGTTTTGTCCCACTTCTGGTACTCCTTTAGCTCTTCCTTCTCCTCCTCGAGCGTCTGCAGTCGATCCTCGATGGTCTTCAGATACTCGCTGATCTTCTCCACCTTGCTGTCCGTCTCGCGCAGCAGATTCAGTGACTCCTCCTTCCGTTCGTCGTACACCCGCGTTCCTGCCACCTCGCGCAGCAGCTTGAGGCGATAGGAATCGGCGGCGGTGGCCATCTGGTTGATCTTGCCCTGCTTGACAATGTAGTAGGGATTGGAGCTGGAGAAGCCGGCCGACTCGAGCAGATTGACCACCTCATTGCGCGGCACCACCTTCTTGTTGAGGAAATACTGATCCTTCTTGGCCCCAATCACGCGCCGCAGGAAGATCTCCTCTTTGTCGATCTGGAAAATTGTTTGCGATTTATTTTTTCATTTACCAAGTTTGGATGGTGGTTTGTCCAATCTAATGGCTACTCACCGGCACCCGGTTGTCCGAATTGTCGAAGATGATCTCCACATAGGCGGAGATGACGCGGGCACCGGTTCCCTCGTGGAGAAGCGACTGGCGCTGCTCCGGCCGCAAGTGGGTGAACTCATCGCTCAGCACGAACTGGATG